TGCAGCTTAACTTGCAAAGAGGATCAGGGCAACGGGGCTCCGGCGCTCCGGCGACCGGAAAAGCCTAGGTTTGCGAAGCAGCTCACGCTTGCGCTTATGGCAGCCGTGTTGCTTGCGTGTGTTTCTGCCCCTTGGGTAGAAAATAAGCAGCTTCAACAAAAGCTCGGTGCCAAAGAGAAGGAATTGAAGCAGTTGCACGCGGACAGCGCTGCTGAAAAGAAGCAGCTTCAATCAAAACTCGATGCCAAAGAGGCGGAGTTTAGGAAGCTTCTCGCTGAACATGAGAGGCTGCAAACAACATGTGGGCAGCTAGACTCCTCAAAGCTAGATTCCGGTGAGCGTCTTTTAGGATTTTTTTGGTCTCGTGTTTGGAATGTTTGGGAACGGTGGCGCTAGGACGGAGACCTGGAGGTCTGGCACGTGTAGTACACTTGTCACCGTTGCCCGATGTCCCGTTGGAGCGTTGGTCTCTTTGACTGTCAAGAGAACAACTCTTCTCACACTGCCCAAGGTGGCACAGGGTTTTCAGGCAACTGCCTTGGCCGGCAGCGTTCCAGAAAAGGTGTTGTTCAAGTGCACTTCGAGTTCCAACATGCCGTAGCTTTGTGAGACAGTTGTCTTTGAGATCAGGGCTTTCCAGTGCAGACATTGTGGCCCAGCTTCCCCTGAAAGCGCTTCAGCTTCCTAGGTCTTCCGAAGTCCCAAGATGGCCGTGGTGTCTTCACTCCGAGCATCTTCGCCAAAGCCCACCGGCCTTGAGGTCAAGGTGCGCAGTGACAAGAGTTTGGAGATTTGCTGGGACTCTTGTGCAGCGACCGCAGAAGTTGATGCCTGCTTTGAGCTGGAGATTCAGCACTTCTCCTTTGCAGGGCCAATGATTCAGCCGGATCACTCGACTGTGATGGAGGTAAATGCTCTTGCAGCGCACGTGTTGCATCCCGAGCGTCTTCGAAAAGATCAAGCTTGGGTGGTCAAGATTGGCCTCAGAGGCAAATCGGAACAGGGTTCAGCAAATGAAGCAAGTTACTTGGGATGACGAGCTTCCAGAGAAGGTCTCCAAGAAGGACTTGGAAGA